CCACCTCCAACCCCCTTCCCACTGCCTGTGAGCCCCTGGAGCCCCTGTCTGAGCCCAGCCCCCTTTTCCCTCACTGAAACTCATCTGTGGCCTCTTCCTAAAGTGGTTCCATGGTGCCTCTTTCTCTGTCCTGGAAGGACCCCCTCTCCCCACCCAAGCACTGTCCCTGTGTGTCCCATCAGAAGATGGAGACCCCCGTCTCCAAGTCCCTAATAATCAACATGTATCCTGGCCTGGGGAAGCAGCCTTTTTCCCCTCTGAATTCCCCTCGTAGGTGACCTGTGGTTCCAGCCACAAGTGAGTACACTGGGCTATCTCACTGCACCCTCTTGGGGCAGCTTGATTGGCTGCAATACCAAGTCCCAGAAGACCTTCTTGTGCCAAAGCTTACCTATTAGATACTGACTTCTGTTAGTTGTCCACTTCCTCTAGGAAGCAGCACAGTGCAGGTGAGTGTGTGGCAGCCTGGGCTGGCCCATGAAAGCCATGCAAGCATTCAATCTCTCCCCATGCAGTGGTGCTGCCAGTCCTACACACATCTGGCTTTGGGTGCTAGCTATAACCACCAGATGGTACCTGGAAGAGCCAAAGCAGAGTAGGCTTCAGCATTTTGCTCTGCTTTTGGTGCCATTTGATACCTCTCCATCATTCTGGCTRTGCTGCTCTGCAGGGATCATTTCTGAGCCCATCACAGGGCCCTTGCTCAGTGTGGCCAGAATGTCCTGTTAGCAAGTGTTTTAGGGGTTATTATACCTTACCACATTCGCTGGTTCTTTACCTCAGGCACTGTGTGCCCAGCACCTGGTCTCTTTACAGAGTTCAGGGTTGCCCATTTAACCCAAGGAAACTAAACTCTAACTCTGGGGTCAGTGGGAGGAAGAAATGAGAGTAGAGGCAGTCTGGTTGGTCCCCTTGCCATTCTGAGTGTGATTCCACTGCTCCTGGGTAAGATCAGGACTGACTCCACCCAGTTCCTACCTTTGTGTTGGGCAGTTGGGCACCCATCTCTCCTATCTCTCCTGCTCCTTACTCCTAAGTGCCTTCCAGGGACACTCTCCAGATCTGGGAGTTTGTAAAATTGTAACTATGGCTTTAATTTTGCTAAGAATTTTTTTTTAAAAGACTTGTTCTGAACCCAGTCCCCTGACCCTGGACTTGACTGTGCTCTGGGACCTGTGATCATTTTGGATGGGAGTTTATGTGAGCTGCTCTATCTGGGGACGTCCTTTGATGTTCTCGTAGATTGAGTGGTTTCCTTGCTCTGGCCCCCTCCCCAAGCACTGGTGCCCCTGAGGGCCTTGAGGATATTTTCTGGATCTGGGACCTTCCTCCCTGACTTAGCAATCAAAGGCATCAGCAAATTTGGACTCCTCCACTCTAAGGAATATTTAGCATTTCTATTTACCTCTAGAGTGCCTAGAAACACAGCATTTCAAAGGCTGTGTTTGATTACAGATCTGTTTTTTTTTTGCCAGAAATTTGCATATCGAATAATACAGAAACTGATGATGGCAGTTGAAGTGGTGTCCTGTGGGAAAATTAATCAGTCCTGAAACCTAGTGCCAACTGCCACAGCAGCAATCTTTGAGAGGGAACCGTACCTCGTGGGTGGTATTTGAAGTCAGGCAGCTGAGGACTGTGGATTGAAGTGCTCTCTGTGTCTGAGTTCTGCTGTGGACTCAGAGTCATGSACAAGACTATGTTTGCTTCTGGGCTGGTTCCCAGGGTGGGGGGCTCAGGGAGCCCAGGCATCCTGGAGATCCAGTCATTCTCATGGGAAAAGAGAGATCCTGTGGCTTGTATTGCATGACCCTGCCRAGAAGCTGGGCTATAAGATGCACCCCTTCCTCCTCTCACCCCCTGCACCAAATAAAACCCCAAACCTATGAATGAGCAGATAGCTTGGAGAGAAGAGTGTTTTAATCTTGTGTTTCCACTATGGAGATTGCAAAGGATTAGGAGATTATTCAAAAAGTGACTTTAAATTCCTAGAAAAAGAGTAGACTCTGGCATTTCTGTCTAATTACAAATGGCCAAGAGGGACTGGGGACTTGRCCTGGCCCTCACTGCTTTCCAAAGAGGAAGAAAGGCAATGGAGAAAGGTGTATGGCAGTTGTAGGAATGGCTAGACCACGAAGAAGAGCTCAGGTGATCCAAGCGAACCATGTTGTAATCTTTGTATTCTTTCCAGCCACTGGGAATGAGCTGAAATGTGCCTGGCTGGCTGGTGACTCAGAGTCAGTTGGAGAGATGACAGCTGACCCCCAATGGACCTTCMTGGGTCTCATGACCTTGTGGGACATGTCTTGAAGGTGAACCATCTGTCCAAAGACACAGGTCATTCAAATAACAAAACTCTACTTTAGCCAGTGCAAACATGGGGTCCTGGATCGGGAGGGGACAGGGCACTGCTGCACAGGGAAGAAAATTAGCATTTTTCTGTAGAGAAACTGATAAGTGGTGCTGGGTCCAAGTGGTAGGTGACCTTGCATTTGAGTTAAAATGCTGCTGGGAAATAAGAGAAGATAAACATGAAAAGAATGCAAATGAATTGCAGCGGACAGGAGCCCAGAGCCCTGACTTCTCCACCATCCACCAGAGATGGTTGTGTGATGCCTATAAATAGACACTTAAAAACCAATTCTAAATTGAGTTCAGATGTGGGCCTGTTTCCTCGTATGGAAGTGTTTATGTAAGGTACAGCACGCTGCCCTTGCTCCCGAGGGGTTTGATGATTCTGTGCCTTTGTTGGGAATCCGAGTGGAGCATGTGGGGGATGCTTGGAAACAGATGAATGAGACTGTCCTTTCAGGGGACCTGCAGACTCAGGGGAGACCCAGGGAGAGCTGTGCCGGCTCCCTCCAGGGAAGGAGGCAATGAGCAAGCCTTCCCTGGCAGAGGAGGTATCCTCAAACAGGTTCTGAGAGTCTCCAAGGTGCTTCTGGGCCAGGAACCAGTGGGAGCAGAGTGGGTGCAGGGCATCACATGGCAAAAGACAGGAAGAACACTTTGGTGTTTTCTGGTTTCTCTTCCTCCTCTTAAAAAGCTACTACGATTCAACCATGGGGTTGCTTGCCATCCTGATGACCTTATCTAATCCTCTGAACGACATAGTGAGATTAAGTTTCCACCCCCTTAATATATCACAATAGGGTTTAAATTCCAACATGAATTCAGAGGGGACAAAACATATGCAAAACATCCACTGACTGCTCTATTTGGGTCATAGAGCTAACTTGTAACTGAGTGAGGACCCAAGGCCCCATCTCCTGACCGCCAGTGAAGTGTCTCGTGACTAGATGTAACATTTAGTTCATGCACTAACCCAGAAATTACTTAATTCTGGAGATCCTCAGATGGTGAGCTTTGGGGGAGAAGGAAAAATATTTGATGCAAATGTGATCCCAAGCGGTATTCCAGAGTTTCACCTCCCCAGCCACCTTTGAAATCATTCTTATTTTCCATGCTTTATGCAAGATGGAACTGAGGCACGCTGCAAGAGGCTGCAGAGGGCTTTGTTAATGYTCACACAGGAAGCAAGTGGCCCACACTGCCTGAGTTTGGAAAGCCTGTGTGTGGTTGAAATGCCTTACCTGTGATGTTTGCTTGGGTGAGAGAAAGAAACCTTCTTTCAAAGGGCCAGAATCTGTGAAGCTCAGAGGCACAGATATTGAAGGGCAATTTATGTATAATAGCCTTGGAAAGAAACCGAACGGCTATGTGAATGTCAAGTTACCTCTGAATAAAAGCCAGCAGATTAACCATTTTGCAGTTCTCTTTTAACAGGTGACTTAGTCAAAATGGAAATCTCCTCAGCCTTYTAAGGGTATCCTGTCAGTTTCCTTTATATCTGGACCAGCGGCATCTGTACAGGGCCAGTTTGGAGTGGAGGAAGTTCCCTAATTAAAACCCACTGCTAGAAATGTCTGCCCAGGGAACCGAGAGCAGCCATCTGGCTTTGTTAGCAAAGTGATAACACCAAGTCCAGATTAGATTTTTGTGAAGTAGAAACGATGGCAGAGCAGGTGCCAATAGCAAGACCCTGTTTCTTCCCCCCCAACGAATGATGCCATCCCCTGTGACGTTAGACCCTAGGAATAGATTGAAGGTGAACTGTGCGACCAGCACATCTGCTCATGAAGATCTCAGCCCTGTGCTTTCCAGTTGAGCAGGCTCCAGGAAGGAGGGGTATTTTGCTCTTGTTTTGAAAGGGACAAAGAAAATTCAAGACGTTTTATAACTCAATCTGACATTAGCAAAATGGGAGGGMGAAGAGGAATTTAGGACAAATGAAACCCATCTCCTTCTGTCCTACCCCAGGTGTCTTTCCCTTGAGTCTTTATTGCCCTCATCACAAAATCCTGATCCACCCAAGGTCTGACTTTGAACCCCTCCAGGCTATATRGCTTCCTCTTCAGCTTTCATCTGAAAAGCTTTCTCTATTTAAGGGACCTGTGAGACCTGGTGGCCTCTTTCCAGTTCTCTTTTGAAACCATCTTTCCCAGGAAGAAGGGTGGACTGAGACCCTGGGCAAGGGAAGTGAGGGGACTTCCTTTCTCTTTCCTTTAGTTACTTGTCATTCTCCTCCAACCCCCACATGCATGTCAGCTTTCTCTGAAAGTGTCAGAAAACTCGGGTTCTGCAAACCACTGGGGTCAAGCTTTGTTGTGGGAAGATACATATTCATGAAGGCTTTGAGGCGCTTCATTAATATGCGGGTAGTCTYTCCTTCCAGAATGGTACACAAGCCATCGCTTTATTTGCCCAACATGTTGTTCTTAAGGCAATAATTATGTGATGAAATGACTAAAGAAACATTTTAATTATTTGTTTAGGGTAATTTCTGATCATCTCATTAGAATTATAATTTGTTCACTTTTATAGGTGATTCAGAGCTTCTCACTCATTTAAATTTTCATACTTGAAGGAACTCTCTATAAGCACCTGTGTCATTTCTGAAACCTAAGTAATTTCCTCTATTTCATTCTGCTTTGTTCCAGAAAGATTTGATCACCAGGAGGTTTTCCGGGACATTATCAAACCAGTCGTTTTCGGTAAGAAACACGAGTGAGCTTTTTACTTGGAGTGAGCTTTTGCTTCTGACACGTGAGGAATGGAATTGCTTCACTAGCAGGATGCCGCATGGCAAATGGAACCCGGCACTTGTCATGGTTCTTTGTTTCYGGGAACTGTGTGTGTGTGATTGAGTGTTCATTTTATCACTGGGAGTTTGAAGCTGGGGTTTGATTCCCACCCAAGAAGTGGATGAATGCTGGAATTCTCACTGGTCACTTATTTTCCCTGGAGCTGACACCTTTCCCCACACCCAGAACAACAGCAACTTATACTCACCCCATTCATTCCCCACACCCGCCCTGGGCTTTTCTTTAAATCAGTGTCCTCACTGGGCTCAGTCATTAATTTGTGTGATCCTAACCCAGATTCCCATTTACATTGAAAGTAGATACCAACAACAGACACCACTTGAAAACTTTTGCTATGTAAATGTGGGCACTCATTACAGGTTGAGCATCTCTTATCCAAAATCTGAAATCCAAAATAGTCCAGAATAGATATTTTTGAGCACTATCATGAGAAGTTATGTTATTTAATCCCCAATCCTAAATACTCTGAAATATGAAATGTTTTCTGGGTCCAAAGCATTTTGGATGAAGGCTATTCAACCTGTARCCTACTTTGAAAAGTCAAACACTATGAAGTATTAAGAAGCTAAGTATAAGAGGTTTAATTTGGATCAAAAAGAGGCTTCAGCTTGCTGGGGATGAAGGGTGGCTCTGAGTTGCTGTTGCCCTGTGAGTAAAGCTGTATTACCGTCCTGATCACAGCCACAGTCAGCACTTGGCTTATTCTTATTCTGCAGGATCTATGGAGCACAGCCAAGATACTAGCTGAATGCTCAGCAAGGGGAGACTTGGAGGGGATGGGTTCTGGGTAGAAGCTGAATTGGCTCTTCTTCCAGGGCCAGAGGCACAGCAGGTGGGTTGGTTGTCGGGAAGCTGGTGTGTGGGTTGACTTGTGTTTGGAGAGCGGTTAGCAGAGGAGAAAGTTATTAGAGGCCAAGAGGCTGCAGCAGTCTTGGTCTCTGTGTCCTGATGCCAAGAGCTGGTCGGAGCCTAGGATGGGTTTTGTGGGTTCTTATGGATTCATCTGCTGGGCTTGGATGGGTTCACCATCCATAGTCACACATAGGGTAGTGATRGCTTTGGGATTCACAAAGGAGAGGAAAACTTTGGGTGTCCCAGGGAAAGCTCTGTGCTACTTCTGACAGAGATGAAGACTACCACCAGGGGCAAGACCAGGATTCTGGAACTTTAAGAACTGGGTTCAGAACTGCTCTTTTATCTCTAGGGTAGCAGGAGCCCGTAGGTCTTGCTATTGGAAGCAAGCTAAACCTATTTTTGTTTGTTTTATAAAGCGGGCAGCTTCATTTAATCCAGTGTCTATCTTATGTCTAGGTGGCCACTCATAATCCCTGTGCTGCCCATGGGTAGGAATTCCCTTGCATCAAACTGGGGAGCCTTCTTGTCACAGATGCCCTGGATAGTAGGTTCTGTGTGAATCTTGTCTGGAGCACACTCATAAGGCACTTAATAGTTGTAGAGCAATCAGCTCCTGTCCAAGGAAACAGAGTGTGAAACTTCAGAGGAGTTGCCTGGTTTCCAATGGGTCTGGGCTGTTTTGAACTTTTCCTATTATTGGTTTTTAAAGTTTGTGGATTTTTTGTCCTCACCACAGGCCTATTCAGTTCCCTTTGATTCTCTATTTAGAGTTGCGAACACACTGCAGTTTTAACTTCGTCAGATACATCAACAAATCTCAGCTCTGAAAATGCCAAAGAATTTGAGTGGATTCTGTCAAGGGAGAAGATTTTGTTTGTCACACAGTGAGGGCAGCTTGTGAAGGGAGGAGATGTTACTTGTGGGGAAGCAGTCTCACCAATTACAGTGAAGYCCTGCACTGCTGGGAGCTTGGGGTCAAACCCATAGCCCAACTTTTCCACCCTCTACGAACTTTCCACTATGAAATTGACCTCTTGAATTTTTCCTTAATGAACTGAGATGCCATTGCATTCTCATGGAGCCATGGGAAGTTCAATTTGTACCTCTAAGGAATAAGTTTTCTTTCTTYCTTCCTTTTTTTTTCTGCCCCTGAGCCTGAAATACTAATAAAGGACCAAAATCAGTTGGAATAGACCAGACACTGTGCTCTCTTCCTGATTGCTCTCACCCATCTGCAGTGTAATATGCCCATCATTTAAGTGAATATGCTTATCACAATTCTCTATAGCTTCCCTGCAGAAAAGCATATTCCTTCTTGAAAAGAAAAGTGGCAATGAAATGGATATTTTAAAATGTCAATTATGCCAGAATGAATCTCTGTGAGGAGATCTGCAAAGAGAAGAAAAGGCCTGGGTTTATTTATTTTTCTACTGCAAACGGAATTATTCCGTAACCATTCTGTAACTTCAGAATACCAATACTCACCAAGTGCCTGATGTCTTCTCAAAAAATAATCTTATGAATAGACTTACACCTACATGAAAAGTTAGAGGATCTTTTCTATTTTTTTAATAATTAAATTCTAGATCTCATTATTTTATGTATCAGTCCTATTAGCTCTGGTCTGTAAAATGTGAATAGTGAACTATATAAATTCAGTCATTATCCTAAAAGGAATGATGGAAAGACTAACTGTGTTTAAATCATGGCAGGACTCAGAAAATATATGAAGTGAGAGGTTGTGGCATTCATGAAGTTGCTGACTGATGTGATATCATCATGTTCCTACCCCAGTACAGACACATATAAATGCTGTGTGAAATCCAGCCAAAATGTTTTAAAAAATATAAGATCCAAAGAAAGGCACAGAAATTCCCAGCTACTATGCCAAGAGAAAACACAGAGTCAGAGCACTGAGGGAGGAAGATATAAGACCAGGGCAGTGGGCTTCCTGATGAAGGGCAATGATGATTAAGACTGTGTGATATTTGAGTATATGTAGCCAGGGGGACAGGTAGGAAAAGGTAGTCCTACCTGTCATATGTATGGGAATCTGGATGTAGCAGACATGTACAATTGACCAGGTGGGAAATGATACATAACAACTGAATGACCACATGAGAAAAGATAACATGAAATAAAATGAAATCCCTGCTTCACAGCATATGTACATACAATGCTCAGAGAATTGTAGACCTAAATGTAAAAAGCAAAATGTTAAAACACACAGAAGATATTTCCTGTATGTTGTATGCTATAGGAAAAACTAAAGTGTGTGCTGTCTTTCTCTCTCTCTCTCTCTCTCTCTCTCTCTCTCTCTCTCACACACACACACACACACCCCACATACACAGTATAAAAGACCAATTAATTAAATAGCAGTATTAGAAACTTTTTAAAGATAAATACAAACAGGAATAAATATTCATAATGGAGATTTATTATAAGATATGGTATACTGGCTGTGTAAAGAATTCTTTCAAATCACTATGAAGATAACAGAGTTYTTAAAAATGGGCAAATTATATAAAGAGAAGGAGGAGTGGGGGAGAGGAGGGGAAGGAGAAGCAGAAGAGGAGAGGGAGAAGGAGAGACTAAAATGGCTAATAGCCAAATGCACTAAGCCTCACTTCTAATCAGGGAACTGCCACTTAGCGATGAGATACCATTCACATCTATACATTAGCAAATAATTGTTCTCCAAAGAGGAGTATTTCATAAGGTGGAAATGTGAGTCCCCCATGACTTAGCAATTTCATTTATGTTAGTCAGATTTCCATCACTGTGACAAATACCTGAAATAAGTCAATTTATATGGAGGGAAGGTTAATATTGCCCACGGTTTCAGAGGTTTCGGTCCATGGTCACTTGGCCCTGTTGCTTTTGGGCCTGTGGAGTCACTACATCATGGTGGGGGGGGGTGTGGCAGAGCAGGTGGCTCACCCATGGCAGCTGRGAGGCAAAGAGAGGGAGGAAGGGGCACGGGTCCTGATATCCCCTTCTAGTGCACATCCTCAGTCACCTAATGTCCTACCACGAGGCCCTACATCCTAATGGTTCCATTAACTCCCAGTAGTGCCACAGGCTGGTGACTGTTCGAAATATGGGTTTGTACATGCCTTAGCTGGCCATGAAATGGATTTGGTGGTCTATTAATCATCTCCAGTAGAGGATCTACCTATCTTAGGATAGATCAATCTATCTTAGGATTAATCTACCAGCTACTTGTCTATCAACAGATTTATGATAACATATTGACTCATGTGATTATGGAAGCCAAGAAGCCCCATGATTGGCCTCTGCAAGCAGGCGGCTCAGCAAAGTCAAAAGTGACATTCAAAGGCCTGAGAGCCAGAGAGCTGATGGTATAGATTCTAGTCCAGGGCTGAAAGCTTGAGAACCATGATCATGGAGGGCAGGAGAAGCTTGATGGCCTAGCTCAAGCAGTAAGGTAGAGAGTAAACTCAACCTTCGCCCACCGCTTTGTTCTACTTGGGCTCACTGGACTGGATGTAGCCCACCCACACTGGGAGGGCCACCTGCCTTGACCAGCCTACCATTGCAAATGCTAATCTCTCTCAGAAACATTCTCACAGATACACCCAGTAATCATGTTTAACCAGATTTTCTGGGCATCCATAGAAAATGGTCCAGTTAAGTTAACACATAAAATTAACAATTGTATGAATGGATAAAAAGAAATGTGGCATATATGCACAATGGAGTATTACTCAGCAATAAAAGAGAATAAAATCATGGCATTTGCAGGTAAATGGATGGAGTTAGAGAAGATAATGCTAAGTGAAGTTAGCCAAACCCCAAAACCAAATGCTGAATGTTTGGTTTGATATAAGGAGGTGATTCATAGTGGGATAGGGAGAGGAGCATGGGAGGAATAGACAAACTCTAGATAGGGCAGAGGGGTTGGAGGGGAAGGGTGGGGGCATGGGGTTATTAATGATGGTGGAATGTGATGATGATTATTATCCAAAGTACAGGTATAAAGACATGAATTGGTGTGAATATACTATCTA